GAGCACGTGACTGCTCTTGGCCTGGATGGCACCCAGAGAACGGGACACTTTAAAGTAGCATGTAGGAGTGAGGAAGCCTACCTGGAATACCTGGAGAAATCTGTACAGATCATTAAGGACAGGGGTGTGCCACACAGGGTTTGGCTCTGGGCCTCTAACAGGGAGGTGGTAGGCGCACATCTCAGTTGCGGCACCACTGTCACACCCTCGATCAAGGAGTTGCCTTCTTAGCCCTCTAGTTAACTACCCTACAGTATAAACATGTAACAGGGCTCCGTGGCACTTAACTGTTAACACAAACTGGGATTCGGTCACGGTCACCTGCGGGCTCAAAGCCCACATCATACCAGTGACAAACTCCGCCGCATGGGATAGGGTCTTGTGCTGCAGAAGAAGCTCTTGGTTTCAAAGGCATGTAACAGGCACGTTAGTCACTTTAAATAAAAGCATAAGACAAATAATTATAACCTAGGATTACCTAGGATTTCTTGTTGTTGCTGCCCATGTTCCTGAATGGAGCGTTTTCCTTGGGGCATTTCTTCTTCGGTGTGCTGAACTGCTGGCTGCGGGAGAGGGTGTTGTGATGATGTCGTGTTGTTTCATGCTGCAGCTGTCCGAGACCAAAGTCTTCACCGCCTCCTCCTCTGCCCCCGCCTCGGAGAACCACGTCGCGCCTGGACAGAGGTAAGGCCTCCGCTCAGCAGCCCTCGGCAGTCACCCTGACTGCAGCCCCTGGTCCAGCCAAACGCTCTTCTGGCCAACTATGGAAGTGTACAACAAGTTAAAAACTGTTACATTTCTTTTTATTGCTGGCTTAATTGCCACGAGGGCTTCACAACAGAGCTCCGACTATCAGGGACTCGCATTTGTACCCTGAAGAGCAGGTGTGGGAAAATGGGAAAAGGTTTTAAATTAAATGAAGGCAGGAAGACTGCAGATGCTCCAGTGCTTTGGATTGAGCCACAACTACGAACTAACAATTGCTGTCCTTGTGATGAATTGAGAGCTTTCAAGCCTGTAGTCTGTCCTGAAGGATGGACTATAAGCCTCTGCCTCTCAGCATGTGTGTTTTTTGGTATAAATATATCACACGGCGGTGACAGAAGTCTGTTTTCTGATTAATGTATTTTATTTCCAAGCACTTCAGTTTGTCATATTTGTCCCCTCAAGATTGATGTAATCCTGACGGTATAGTTGCACTTTAAACTCATTAAAGTTATTGTCATTAAACTGTAAAAAAGGATGTGCTGCTTTTTTAAGGCTAGAAGATTTTTTCCCCTCTCACTATTGTGTCACTGTTTCATGGCTCAGGAGTTCTGAATCCAACCCCTGCGGACTGTGGTTTTAAAGCCACCTTAGCCGAATCTGTAATTCGCTTAGTGATTCGGCTCATTTACAATTACTGCCCTGTGAGAGCCTCTCCTGTCCTGTGCTCCCCACGCCAGGAGACACTCCTCTATCGTAACGTGCCCGGAAGACAATCAAAACCACTGAGACATTCAGGTCTCCTGCTCATCTAATTGGACAAAGTTCCCAATTTGCACATCCGCCGCCCAGCTGTTTATTTAAGACCTGTAGAACCCGAAGCCCCCCGTAACACAGGGGCTCTGTCCAGGGTCAGAGTTAGTCACCGGCACTCTAGCAGAGAAACAAGGAGAGTGCCATCTCCTCTTGATCTCAGTGTTCTGTTAGTATTAGGGTGATTATAAAGGATATCTAAAGCATGATTCAGACCCTGTTAAACCA